ATTTTTATATAGGAAATACTGAATCCGACCAAGTATGGGAAAAATTGTATTTATTTCATCGGAGGAGAAAATTATGATTTCAAATGTATTAATGTGTTTTGTCTGAAGCAAATGAAATTAGAAATTATGTATGAAACTTAATTGAAACATTTCAGTGTATCCTTCGCTTAAAATGATGTAACACTTCTCTAAATGGTTTTGTTACACCTTGAAAATATTATGTGTAGATTGTATTAAAGCTGCCCGTTGAAACTTGTCAGAACTTATTTTGTACCACTACCATGTAACGAATATTGTGAATGAGTGTAACATTATTATCATTATTATAAGGCCTTATCGGACAGCAATAACTACTAGCATTATGTCACCCGGGTAAAATCCCCACGTGTGTGTGTATATGCATGCTTTTGTACTGGAATTTTTATTTAGTTCTGTTTTGCTGGCTACAGCATTTCCTCCTAGTGCAACCTCATCTGCACAGACAATGCCGCTTTCACACCATTGAATACTCCATTTGGGTTGTTGGAGTTGAAAGCCCCTTCTATGGTGGAATATTCCATACAACAACTTCAGGAAACGAATTACTTCGTGTGCGTGGACGGCCTAATTATTTACAACTTGACAAAATATATCCAGTTAGAAATAAACAATAAATTATGTTTAATTATAACGGGAAATACATTAAAACACATAAACATGTTGCAAATCTATGCAAACGGAATCTGGGAATCCGCATTAGAGAAAAATATGTCTGTATTTTCATAAGAATGTATTTAGTATGAAGTAATACTCTTGAATGATTCGTGGCATTTAGAGCTCGATGAATATCGTTAAATAATACAAAAAAATAAGGATTGCATATTGTATAACATCTTCTGAAATACAATGCAGGTGCGATGTCAAATGCATCAATTAAACAATGTGTTATTGATTAATTTCAACAGCATTATCGATTGGTAGAGCTAACAATAAAGAGGTATGCATGCCGTAGACATAAGCCAACGCATACCTGTCGGTAAGTTATTGTGATAAGGTCAGCATAGAATGCATTGTCGCCATATCTTATGTGAGATCATTCTCTGTAGATACTGACATGGTGTGTTGATGAGAGGATGACATGTTGTTTCCATTATATTCGTGTATGCTTTCAATTGTTATATCTTCCGCACAGATCATTCAATCAATTCATCAGCAGTGTTGTTCATTCAACTGATTCACTAATGCAAGATCGATTGAAAGCTGCTCAGCTTGCAATTGCGACAGTGCACCAATAATGCATACCTTTGTTTCATCATTGATACTAGTCGAGTTCTGTTCCATTTTAATGATTTCACAATGGTATGCTCAATGTTGACAGTTCCAAATGTGTCTTGAGGTTTTTGCCAATAATGAACTATAATGCATGCTTGAGCTAGTTAGCACGGTTCTTCCCATTTTTGTTTAATCTTTATTTGATAATATAGGCTGTTTAACCCTGATTCGTATCCTCCTTGACACTGGTCTAGATATTAAACTCTGGGATTCCAAAGGCATTGATGGATTAGTTTAGACGGACAGGTATTTTGAAGAACTCTCCTGAGTGACCTCCTATAGTTGATGACTGTTTCGTTTGTTTACTTTTCGTCTGTGCAAAGCATGTAATCCACAACTAATAACAACAAGTCATAAACAAAGATTAAAAAATAGAATTGATCTTATTTCTAAAACAATGGACTGAGAGTCTCAATATATTATGTGTTTGGAGAACGAACCATTTAATTCTACCGTTTACATTGAGTTGTGTGGGTTTTTTTTATCCAGTGCAGTACTTTCTTTTTGATACCATAAAACTCGAGTTTGTTCAGAAGTGGTTCATGTGACATCAAACTCTAAATACATCATATTCCTTCATGATCTCTAGTTGCTGGGTAACGCCCGATTGTTTTGAGTTGGAACCATATTACAATCTGTAAATAAGTTTGTTTTGTTCATAGGTTTAAGAACTGTATCCCTTACTATTGAATCCTGCTTTTCTGTGAATATATTCAGTTTATATATTTTCCCCCAGACATGCATGTCATCATACCGTGCGGCTGCCTGGGAAAGGAAACCCAGACGCCAGATTTGTTTTGTTTACAAATTTCTTTGAAGTGTGTTATAGATATTCATATATTCATTCTTTCAACCTCACTTTCCTGCTCTCTGTATAAATGTAAAAGTGATCAATAAATCTCTTAGCATAAGTATTTTGTTGTATGCATAAAACAACAAGATAATAAAATAAGCCGTACAATGTAGTTAATACCTTTTTTACACGTTTCTTTTTAGTCATCTTGCAGGGGCATCAGCGTTTCACGGACAACTTTCATCAAACAGTAGTGCACGAGACTTTAGTGTTGTCCCTCTACTAAGACGTCTGCTACTACCGGTATTGTATAAGCATCGGTTAGGTATTTTCCGGATATTATTTTTGCAGTCTATGTTACTAATATTATAATTTCTACTTCCGGATAAAATAAAACGCCCAACCGTGAAAGGAGCTTTGCTATTTGGAACTGTCAGTCGGACTAAGTAATAACACTTCAAGTTAAATGTAAGCATTTATTATGATTCTTATTTCTACGAGACTCTCAGTCTATGTGTTTTTATCATGTGAAAATCTGAGTTATAGGTTATCAGTGAATACATCGTCTAAATTATTGCTATAAATAACTCAAATAATAAAGGTCGAGTAACTTGTTAGTGTTTATATTGATAAAGAGTTGTTCCCCTTACTAATTACAACCAAATTTATTGTACAAATTATACAAGTTGTTCAACGCACAAGATCATTAAGACATAGTGACAATTAATACAATAGTATCTTTTATATATACAATTATACGTACATTAAGAAACTGTCAAAAACCAAAGGATCTAAATACTGGTATATCAATATGAATAACAGTAACAGTGTAATGATAACAAATAGAGCGAACTAACACAGATGCTGCCAAGACTTTAAACCACAAGCAAATACAGCCATTTGTATTTACCACATATGAAATTGAAGAAATTAAGAACACGAGAAATTTTGACAATTCTAAACTTAAAATTGATATTGAAGGTTCGTTTCCTTTCCTATATCTACAGGATACAAGTAACTTTATTTAGTGTAGGATCTGATAGCGACACTACATATGTAGGCCATGAACTGCAGCCCCATAGAGAGCGCCATATTGAAAAATAAATCAGAGGCTTTAAACAACATTTCAGACACATGGTTTTCATAAAAAGTTGACACTGATTTGTAATGTTGAAATAAAACATGCCTTTCTTACCAAAACAGGTTGTTTGAAACCTCTCTCGTTTTACTTTAAAACCGAATTTTAGACAATGCTATTTAAATATTTGCCCCTCCTTCCTTCAAAAATGAATGTCAAGCTTCTACGTGATTGCATGTATAAAATTGGTAATCGAAGGCTTAACATTATCATTAATGCATCATACAGCTGTTTGTATGCTTAATTGAAATAGCTCAAGCTATTTGTTATACATAGTTGTAAAGTTAAGATATGCTTCCTCTTTTTACAGTAAAAATTGTCATATACAAATACCGGATAAATGAACGCACCCAAATATATCCCCTGTGTACCCCGTCAATTAAAGACACCTTCCAGGAGTCGCGGTCTGCATATTAATATGGCTACTAGAAAATTGAGTCCTTCGTGTAAAATCATAAGGAATATAAGTTCCGCCTACTACAAAAACGTAGCTACGGGTTACATTTGACTTATCGGAGGTTGGCCTCTACAGGAGATATCATTACTGATACGAAAAGTGTTTGTCAACGATAACGATAGCTTTAAACGGAGATTTTTTCAGAGGTAGGTATTTTCATGATGTGTTCCCTGGTTTTGTTATGATTGAAAACTTTCACACGAATGACCTGGAACTGTTTTCTGTTAATGTGTGTTCAGCTTTGTACCCAGTATTGCAGGGAGAAGCAAATGACTGTAAATGCTGAGTTGTCTGAGTGATGTGTGCATATGCAGAATTGAAGGAGTTGGAGGTTGGGCTTAACACATTACTGGCACCGAGAGTCCAAATTATGTTTAATTGGCACCCTAGTATTGAACATGGAAACATGTTTCAAGATTGGTTGAAAGTTAAGTATATTTAGATATGTTTTCATTTATACTATGATGATGGTTTTATCACAAATCTCATTTTCCCTTTAATATTTCAGACCCTGCCTCTGTTGTCCTGAAGCATATGTTTATCTACTCTGTGTGATCGGCCTTCACATATAACCGGTGCTAACATGTAGTCTAATAACCTGTTTAGATTTGTGAAAAGGACAATCATCTGCAGTTGTCACAAAAGCACAGCAATGGAAGCAGACAGAGACTTTGGAAAGAACTGGCTCAACCCTGTCACGACGACCAGACGAAATGACACAAGGTAGGATCTACACTAGTTTAAGCCATTGTATTGAAGCATTTCAATATTAACCACTCATCTACATAAGATATAAACGACAGCACTGAATTGTTCAGAGGAGTAAATAACTTGATGGGATTTGTAATTTATTTTAATATTTTCTGACACATATACTCCATTACGCACACCAGGTGGGCTCTGTTATGGAAGTGAAGTTCTTAAGTTAAAACAGCTCTATTCGATTCAAAAGCTTGGTTAACTTAGAAATAACTTAACCTGACCTTTTAATTTAGACTATTTACCAAAATATGGAAATAAATTCAAGAGTATGTCACATGCAGATGTATGTAAAATAGTGATATGAAGAACCGACCACTCGACATTATTATTAATTTGCAGTTATTTCTCAAAAATCACCATTTGAGAATAGTCGTTAATTCGTCATTAAACTTACCATGCGTTGAACAGCCTGGTCCTTGCCTATAGTTGTTATATCATGACCGTCCATTGTTATTCTAAAATAGACCATTCTTTATCGTTGTTTGAGTCATGTAGTGTCGACCTTTACATATTTTTATCAGTTACAAGAGTTTTTGTACAAGCGTCAGTAAGTTGAGAACAACATTCGGATGGTGCTCGGAGTATGGATATGTTGTCTTTACATTACATGTTATTGAGTTTATATGAATAAAAAATAATATACGAAACTAACTCTTACAAAAAAATAGCTGAATTTTGATATTTTTCTTTCTAATAGTATTTGCCGTTTTGTTTTCTTATACATATTGTATTCACTGAATAATTCTTGGGGAATTAAAATAAACACTGTAAACCAATCTTCACATAAATTATAACATGGTCTTAAGTTATTCACGTTAATGAAATAGACCATAAATATTGATAAAATTTGAAATATTTATTTCCTTGATGCAAACTTCTTTATTGAACGTGATAGATCGACAGATATGGACTTTCCTGTGGTTTAACGATATCCACTGTGGTGGCAGAATGTTGATATTTTATCTAGACATTACAAATATGAGATAAACAAATAACATGAAATTTATTGTTAAAGTTACTTTGTTAATTCCCTGCTTTACTCTTCTAAGTGCATCCAACGACCATAGTTCTGACGTAAGTACGGAGCAGAAATATGTGGCTGTCATTGGTGCAGGTGTGTCGGGACTGTGTGCAATCAAACACCTTCTTACAAAACAAGGACAATTCAAGCCAACGGCATTTGAAAGGAACTCCCGCATTGGTGGAACATGGGCTTACAGTGAAAGCACTGTTGATGCGTTTGGTTTGCCAGAACACTCTTGTCTTTACAAAAATCTATGGTAAATTTCCCAAATGTGTTCTATAAGATAAATTAAACACATTTCATTTCTCACAATGAAAATAAATTATAATATGACAGAAATTAGTTAAATACTGGGTTAACAGTGTAAAGCATATTTGTAACGTTCAGAAATCAAGAGGAATTTCATCGTTTGTACGTAGTTTATGTCGTAGAACATTAAATTCAAAGAATAGAAATTTTATGGATTTAGTAATGCATGAAATGCTTAACGGATCACTTAAAACGGCACAATCAGACAAAACGACTACACTTAGACATGCTATTTGTAGTGAAAAGAACCATGTTATTCTTCTGGCAGGATTGACATGAAATACTAGTTTAATGATAAATCACTAGTTGTTACACGTTGTCAGTATATAACGTTATAATGGGCTTCATATGCACCCTTCCTTTTTCACTGTATCCTGGGTATGTTCCGGAACACTTTCGTCATGGATTTTCATTTAATTTAACCACTGATGAATTCTAGATGGACGTAATGACCAAATGGGGCAGTAAAGTGTCTACGTTTGTATGGCTTTCTACATCTAGAAATAAGGTTTTCGAATAGGTACTTGCATGCTTTCATATCTATTTAAGGTCATTGGAGTGTATTGATAAACGGAAATAAGAAGCGCATCCCTAGTTGAAAATCCAATGTAGGGAGACAGTATCACAATTTCCGCATATTCTAATGTTTAATATTAAACTAATGAATATTGTATGTTTATTATTGACAGAACAGTGTGTTCTTTCAATATTAAAGTATTTCAAAGCAATCCAGGCATTAATTCAGGTTTTTTCTTTTTATTAATGAGTCACATGTGTCCATTTTTCTGTACTCCAGGAAACCGGCTACCTATCTCACTACTGTGAAGTTTTTCAAGAACGATAACTCTTACATGCAATTACTTTGTGAATATGATTTTATTATAAAATGTCAATTTTTAATCGTTTATAGATAATTAATTTTACGCAATTTCAGTATTGATGAAATTGATATACATTAATGCAATACTAATCTATGTCAGTATCATTTTTAGTGACATTATTTTGCAAACAAACGTGTGTTTATTTATTTTTTCAAAATTCACTCCTTTTTACATAAATTTATATAAAATCCTTAAAATTCTGACAACCTGTATTTTTTTTGTGGCAGAACATTTTCTTTACTTCAAAGCACTATAACTACAAAATTTGAAGAAATTCTACTGAGAAATGGTGACACAATCCTATTACCTTAAAGCAATTTTGATGGTGAACTCTACGTTTCCGAGGTTGGGCGTAGCCTTGTAGGTGGTGCTGGTTTTTTTCTATTTATTTCTAGCAATTGTTTTACGCAAAACAAATTGTTGATTCTGATAGTTCACTATAAGTGTCCGAGGTTGGGCCTAGACTTGTAGTTTGTATGATTCTGAAAACCAATGACACAGAGTTTTCATTATTTAGGCCTTTAGTGTCATTTATGAGTTTTAAATGGTCTTAGTATACTGTATATTGTTTATTTTGTTTGGGTTTTTTGCATCAACAAATGATTTTCAAAAAGAGGCTTCTTTTCTGCATATAGACGAAAAATATTACCAGATGATCACTCATGCCAAGATGTATTCTCCTGAATTTGACGAAATATACTTGTAGGTCCAACAACCCCAAGCAACTGCTCACGTTTCAGGGCTTCCCACATGACCAGTCAGGAAGATCCTATATTGACCACAATGCTGTATTAAAGTACCTTGAAGATTTCAGTCAACATAATAGTCTTGCCGACTTTATACAGGTAACTAAGCTCATTAACGTGATATAAGATGTGATTGCTTTATACAGGTAACTAACTTTAACTGTGGTGTGATAATAACGACATTACACAGGTAACTAGACCAAACCTAAATTGTAATGACTTCATACAGGTAACTATATTAAACAACGTAATATAAATCTAAATGCCTTCATACAGGTAATTAGACTTAAGAACGTGGTATAAATCTTAATTACTTCATACAGGTAATTAGACTAAAGAACGTGGTATAAATCTTAATTACTTCATACAGGTAATTAGACTAAAGAACGTGGAAAAAATCTTAATTACTTCATGCAGGTAATTGTACTTAACAACGCGGTAAAAATCTTAATGAATTCATACAGGTAATTAAACTTAAGAACATGGTATAAATCTTCATGCCTTCATACAGGTAACAGTACTAAATTATAAATGTTTAGCCACCGACTCGTGTAACTACGAACGTTAGGAATCGTGAAATTGTAGTAGTGTTTGTATTATAAATTTTGGTAGTGAGGCGATCCGTGAATATTATCCTACACGAGACAAGTAAATAGGGGAAAAAATGAAGA